CTTTGGTAGGTTTTATACCAATTTATGTGGGAATTACCATCTTCGGTAAGTTTTATACCAATTTAATGTTGGAATTACCATCTTTGGTAGGTTTTATACCAATTTATGTGGGAATTACCATCTTCGGTAAGTTTTATACCAATTTAATGTTGGAATTACCATCTTTGGTAGCTTTTATACCAATTTATGTGGGAATTACACTCCTTGTAAATTTTTATCTTTTGAGATGAGGAATTATCCTTTGTTAGGTTTTGTGTCATTCTATTTTCAGAAACTTTTAAGACAGTATAAGTTATGCTTGGGAAGCCATAATTTGTATACCCAATGAGTTAGAAACTGGCCACAGCTGGTACACCTTCCAAAGAACGTTTTGGAAGCTATCAAGATTAGCTTAGCCTGTTATATTGTATTTTAACAGTTATGATTTGTTTTTCAAAAGAGCACCCAGTTTTTTATACGTATTGAACAATTTTTATTGTGTAATGTTATTTATATGTTCAGTGTTTCTAATATTTCATTATTATGTTTCTTTAATGTTGACATAATAATATTATTATATTGTAGTAGTGTCTTGTATAGTTTTACAATACTTTAAGTTTTGATGATAGAAGTTTTTGTAGTACATGAAGTATAAGGATAATGATAAAACAAAGGAAATCTGGAAATGGAAGCTTCAGTGTGAACATCGCATTCCCAGTGAGTTTCTCGAAATTATGAATTAGTAATGTCTTATAATGTTATTTTATTTTAGTTATTAGGACCACATTTTTTTGAAAGGTATTTGCTGCAAGGTGGGTGTTAGTATTGATGTACTTAAGATAACTATTGAGTTAATGTATAAATTATGCTGCATTAGTGGTTTTTGTCTATGAACTTCTGTCCATATTACTTTTTTGTTCTGCAGGCCTCGCATTGCCAGAGTGCTGGTTACCCCACATACCAGTCTTCATCACCATACCGACCTCATCCTGTCTCTCCACCAGCACATGCTCATCAGTACAATAGTCCTGCTGCTCATCAGATGCACTCTGGGGTTCCTTACGGTGCTACACCACAGATGTCGCTATATGGAGTAGCTCAGAGCCCTTACGGACACATGGGTCAAGACATGTATTCAAGTCGCCATTCTCTTTACAGCAGCAGTAGTGCTCGAAGCATGCAGCAGACAAAGTCAGCTTGGGGAGATTCTAGTACTGGCCCTGATATAATGCAGTCATATGGTCGACCGACAAAGTCAGCCTGGGGAGACTCGAGTACTGGCCCAGAGTTAATGCAGTCGTACAGCCGACCAACAAAGTCAGCTTGGGGAGATGCAAGTACTGGGCCTGACATAATGCAGCCATACAGTCGACCTGCCTCTCAACCTCCAGTCATGACCACTCCTCCACACATGCCACCACCTCCAATGAGGTCTTCCCCACATGCAACTATTAATAGCACTGGACCTCCTCCACCTCTTCCTCCTCCTCACTTTAGACAGATACATGTAGGGTCTTCTAGCCCTTCTTCACACCCTTGGCACCAGTCGCAGATACCCAGTCCTGGGGTGCTTCCATCCCCCAGAACCACTCCCTCACCTCTACCAGCTCATTCACGTTCTCCTGGACATGGTCAACCCTTCTCTCCACCTCCTGCAGCTCCTTCTCCTCATCATGCAGCTACACATCCACAACCTCAAAAGTCAACTCCTTCCCCTCCAATAGTTGTGTGTTCCACTCCAAATCAGCAACCCTTGTGTAATAGCCCTAATGGTCAGGGGGTGAGTTCTGACCCTTTACAGTCCCTTCAGAAGATGGTCATGTTAGACAATGACTCTGTTGGATCTCCCATCAGCAGAGCCAGCTATGATATGGCCAACAGTCAACCCACTACCCCTGTGACCAGCAGGTCTGGTTCCTACTTTTCTTCAGTGGAGCAATTGGCAGGCTGTGAACCTGGGTCTCCTTTCCCCACATACTACAACCTGGATCAAAACAGGCTATCCACTCCTCCTCATTTAGTGGGATCTACAGCTGCCACTTCTCCCTATCGACAAGGTCCAGAAGCAACCTCTCCTGGAGCACGGAGACCACCTATTGGGAATCTCAATCAAGATGATTCTTCTTCAGGTGCCCACATTAATGGTGATTCTCAGTCAACAAGCTCTGATGGGAGTCACCCACCTGGGCGCCTATCTTGTGGCAGTTTAAATGGAAGCCAGCAGTATGATCCTCAGCATCAGGGGTTTGTTGATTGTGAGACCACAGATCTTTTAGAACACAAAGGGGACTCAAGTCTGAACTGTAAAGAAAATGGATTTAGTGCTACAGAGGCATCTTTTACTACAGAGGATCAACATTTTGAAAATAGAGAATGCAGTAAAGGCATAGATTCAGACTCAGTAACTCTGGGTCCTCAGGAGGATGTGAATGAGAAACCACTAGAACTATCGCATGGAAGAAAAAATATGACATTCAGAGAGTCTGAATTTGCTAATGGAGAGCTTGAAGTTAGTGTGGATGACTTAAAACAATCATCTTTTCTTGCTACCTGTCCCAGGTGGAATAAGACTGTTGATACTTACAACTGTATCCCAAGAGGAAGGGGCCATTTTCATGGAAGTGGTGTTGGAATTGGTCTTCAACTAAAACGAAGCCCAAGAAGAAGAAGGAGTGCATCAGGCCCTTTGGTTAATGTTATTTCACATTATGAAAGTGATGCAATTCAAAAGTCTCCCAAAAGGTCACCTGGAAGGGGTCGTGGTCGTGGCCGTCGCAGGAAATGCAGTGGTGGAGGCCCTATTGATAATTTTACAAATGATAACCAATATGGGTTTTATCAAAATTCTTTTGTGCATGATGATAATAGACATCTAGAACCATGGCATGCCATTAGTGAACAGAATGGTCCTATGTCTGTTCACCAGCCTATAAAAGCAGGATTCTACCCTGGTACCAGCCCAACTACTTCTGATTCTCATGGAGTGCAAAATTCAACACCTCAGATCTATTCTAACAATACACCCTCTCCTCACCTTTCAGTTACTCCAGGTGCTCTACTCCCTCTAGGAAACTCACTTCAGTTTCCACCCAAGAAGAAGAGAGGCCGACCATTTGGTAGCAAGAACAAACCCAAGCCTCCAGGTATGGAAACTAAACGAAAACCAGGAAGAAAGAAGAAAACAGAAATTCTTCAGACTGAAGCTGAGCAGGTTTCCAGAGTATATAAAAGAAGATATTTTAATGGTCCTTACATTCACATTGATGGAACAAAAGAAATGCCTCTATCCATTTCTGTTGTTAACATCCCACCAAAAGAGGATGTAAAAGAAGTAAAGAACGTGAAACAACGGAGGCAAGTTCTGGATAGCAATATTCGCAAGAAGCTGCTAGTACATGTCAGTACTCTGTCACCAATGTATGATGCTACCACAAAGGACAAGACCTGGGTTTGTGCCCTATGCCAGCGAGGGAGCCACACTCGTGGTCTGGGAGATCTGTTTGGACCATACTACCTAAATGAAGATCAAAGGCCATCCAATGAAGAAGTTCCCTCAGTTAAACCTTTCAGTGTAACAGCTGAAGCTAGTGAAACAGACCACGAAGAAGAGCTCACACTAGCACTTACTGGCAGAATTGAAGCAAAACAAGAAGAAGAAGAAAAAGAAGAGTTCCTTAGAGCAAGCATCAGTAAAAAAATAAAACAGGTGTGTATTAAGGCCTTGAAACTCGATATTTACTTACAAACTCTATACTTTTTGTTCCTCATTTTGGTTAAATTATCTTTTCTGTTCTTAGTGGTTAAAAAATTGCCATCAGAACAAGATTTAAAGATAGTACAAAAAAGCATCTACTATTGATTACTATTGTCTTAAGCTGCACAATTATGGAATTAAATAAGTCTTAATTTAGATGGGGTTTACACATGTTGCAAATAGCATTTAAAATTATTTGATTAAGCTATTTCTCTACCTTTACAAATACTGGAGATATTCGAGCCTTTTAAGACTTCTTAAGAGTTATTTTTTATTGGCTATCATCATTAGCTGTACAGGGTATTAATAGATCATTAAAGAACTCTAATTACAATATTAAAATAACTGTTTTATAAGCTACTTTCCAGTATTCAATGTTTTGTTGTTAATAATTTTAGTGCAAAAAACCCTGCAACATTTCTGAGACAAACGAAGATCCAGAATCTTCCCAACCAGACCCTGTTCCTACTCCTTCTGAAGAAGAGGAAGAAAGAAAGGAGTTTTGGGTACATGAAGACTGTGCTGTCTGGTCACATGGTGTTTATTTGATGGGACAAAAGATTCACGGTCTTGCTGGAGCTATTGAAGAAGCATCTGAAACTGTAAGGAATGTGTATTTATACCGTAACCTCATTTATTAATCTTATAGCCAGTTAAAAAAATATCATTTATAAACAGAAGATCCTACATTTTGTAGTTCTTTTACTTGTGTATTTGTATAAAGGTTTTCAAAATATCTGTTAATTACAGATTACTTATTTTGTTAATTTGCACAAGTGTGTATGTGTTTGAACTGGGATGTTTTAATGTGGTTAAGAAAATGATTGTAAAAAGTTTTTCTATAATAAATATCACATAAGTTACATTTAAAACCTTTCCTTTTTGGCACAAAGAACAAACCAAATCAGGTCATAATAATTTAATTAATAAACACCACTTACATTATATCTAACATTTCCTGTTCCATATCAATCCAAATTTCCACAGGTCTGCACATGATTTTATATACAAACTTCTGGTGGACTAGAATTACAGGTGTATGAATTACAACGATGTAAATCAAGATAACTTACAAAATTAATAGGAAATTATATGCGCTGTTTTGGTCAGTTGAAATCAGATCAGCTCTTCGTTTTATGTCCAGTTCTACTTTATTATTTTCTCTTTAAAAAACTTTAAATTTTCCTTTACTTACAGGTTTATTACAGTTGTTTAGTACATGGTTCTTGATGTTGGAAAATGTGACATTGATTTCAAGTTTGTATGTTATTGTATGCAAGTTTAAGGCCATCTAGTGGTAATCCTTGGCAAATTAGTGGTATTTGCTCGCTGACTATTCAACGAACCCCTTTATGGATTACGTTTGATTAATCACTTAGTACAGTGCTCCTCAGACCACAATATGTGCAAACAATATACATGTGTATATATATATATATATATATA